ATAAGAAAATCTTCTTTCTCTAGCCAAAGGACTAGGAAAGGAGAAGCCCAAATAGAACAGAAACTTCTTAACTATATGTGGTAGGCAGAATTCTAAGATGTACCCCTTATGTTTTCTACCTTTGAGTATTTGCCCTGACCTGAAACTGTGAATTTGATGGACATGACCTCTGTGGTTAGGCTATGTTATACAGTATAGTAGATATTAAGATAAGGAGATTATCCAGGTGGTCCTGGCCTAATTACATAAGCCCTTCAAAAGTTAAGGGTTTTCTTTGCCTGGTAGTAGAAGGGGAAGTTAGAGAAATTCAAGGCATGAGAAGCATTTGACCTGAGGGTGGTTTTCTGTTGCTAAGATGGAGGAGTCCATGTGGCAAATATCTGAGAATGGTCTCTAAGACCTGAGTGTGGTCCCCTGCTGACAGGTAGCAAGACTTGGGGATCTTAGCCTTACAACTGCAAGGAAATGAATTCTGCCAGCAATGTGAAAGAAGTGGAAGTGGATCTTTCTCTAGTTGAATCTCCAAGTGAGGTTGTAGCTGGCCCACATCTTGATTTTAGCCTCATGAAACATTGAGCTATGGAATTCTTAACTAAGGAAACCATGAGGTAATAAATTTTTGTTGCTTTAAACCAATAAGTTATTGGTAATTTCTTTGATCTTGAGACAAAAACCTGTGAAGAAGCCATGTCCTCCCTCATACCTGTGGTGCTCCAGTAGTGGGGCTAGTTGGCAGAACTCTAACTAACTTCTATCATGTATTAGTTTCTTATTGTTGTTATAAAAAATTACCAAAAATTAGTGGCTTAAAACAACACAAATTTATTATCTTACAGTTTTAGAGATCAGAAAGCCAAAATGGATCTTATGGGCTAAAGTCAAGGTGTCCATAGACCTGCCTTCTTTCTGGAAACCTTTCTGGAGGCTTTGGGGAGAATCCATTTCCTTGTCTTTCCAGCTTTTAGAGGTTGCCTGTGTGCCTTGGCTCATGGACTCTTCCTCTTATCTTTAAAGCACATCACTCCAACTTCTACTTCTGTGATCACATCTCCCATCTTTTTTGACTCCTCTTGCCTTCTTTTTATAAAGACACTTGTGATTAGATTGGGCCCCCCTTGAAATCCAGGCTAATCTTCCCACATCAAGATCCTTAACTTAGTCACTTTTGCAAAGTCTCTTTTACCATGTAAGGTGGCATATTCATAAGTTCTAAGCATTAGGATGTAGACAGTTTGTGTGTGTATGTGGGGGAGGGGTGTCATTGTTCTGTCACAAAATAACACTCTTTTATAAAGAGGCTTTATAAACCAAATTGACATTTGAATCATAGCCCATGAAAGTGGGCTAGGCCGTACATTCTGAACATTAATAGGTTAAGTATATGCTCAATTAGGATACCTTTTTTTTTTTTTTTGAGAGAGAGAGAGTGAATGGGGGTGGGAAAGGGGCAGAGGGTGAGGGAGAGAGAGAGAATCCTAAGTAGGCTGTTGCTGCTGTTTTTGTTTATTTGTTGTTGTTGTTGTTGTTGTTGTTGTTGTTTGCTTTTTTGTCTCTGCCCACTGTTGTTTCCAGGTTACAAATATTTTTAGCATACAGACTTGGATATATTGAGGGCAAGAAAAAAGCCCAGGAAATGCACTTGTGCCCAGTGCAGAGGCCAACATGGGGCTTGATTCCATGACTCTGAAATCAGGACCTAAACTGAAATCAAGATTTGGATGCCTAAGCCAAGATTCAGGCTCCCCTCAACTAAGATACCTAAATAGGAATCAGACTCTTAGGATATCCAACTGTCCAGGATATAGTATGAAATTGCTCACTGTACTAGGCAAATGTCAGCTCCAACAAGAAAGTATAATCAACAGATGTCAATTCAAGATGATGAAGCTGTTGGGATTATCAGACAAGGATTTTAAAGCAGCTATTACAAAAATATTCTAATAAGCAGTTACAAATACTCTTGAATCAAATGAAAAAGAAACAGAAAAACCTGAGCAAAAATTTATAGCAGATATAAAGATAAACCAAATGGAAATTTTAGAATTTAAAAATATAATAACTGAAATAAAAAATTCATTAGATGTGTGTTTTAACTGAACCTAGGATTTGATTTCTAAAAGTGACTAAATGATAACACTGACAGGTCAGTGCCATGGAAAGAAGAGTTTATTAAGAGCATGCTGCCATGCAAGGCTACATGAGGAAGTACTAGGGTCAGTCAGGCTGGAGGAGTGAGAGGAAAGCACAGGTACAAGCTTATTTGGAAACCAATAGAAGGAATGGGTGAGTCAGGGTAGTCAAGTTTGAACAAGTTTAGGATTGAATAGTTTGAATAATTTCAGCAGACTCTGAGCTACGGTGGTGATCCCCAGTTGTTCAGTACCTGGCCCTGTGTGATTTAGGGCAGGGGAAATATTGGCTTGGTGTGTAAAAATCAGACTAAAGGAGGTGGTTGGGGTACAGCTCTGGATTGGTAGGTTTGCATATAAAAAAAACATGTGGTAGACTGAATCACTTACTACCTCCAGGAATTAGTTAGCTCTAGAAGGGACACTCTTTCCCTAGCCAGCAAGGCTCCCAAGATAGGAAAGCATCATAAATGTAGAAAATAAAAACACAATTAAATTAATTAGTTCAATAGCAAAATCAGGAGGCCAGAAGAGTCAGTGAACTTGAAGACAGAGCAATAGAAATTATCAATATGAATAGCAGATGAGAAAATGATATCTAAAAAAGTGAATGGTTCCCCTGGGACCTGTGAGATGATAACAGAAGATTTAACATTCATGTTAGCAAAGTTTCAGAAGAAAAAGAACACTAAACTGAAAAATACTTGAAAGGATAATGATTCAAACATCTCAAATTTGGTGAGAACCTACATATTCAAGAAACTAAATGTACCCCAAACCAGAACAAGCTTCTAAAAGCTCACACCCAGACATGTCACGATTAAATCTCTGAAAAGGAAAGATGAAGGAAGATGAAGAAATACTTTCAAAAGCTTCCAGAGCCAGAGAGAAACCATGCATTACCTATTGGGGAACAATGAGTCAAATGATAGCAGATCCCTCCTCAGAAACTTGAAGGACAGAAGAAAAAGGCAAACATTTTTCAAGTCCTGAAAGAAAAGCACTGTCAACCCAGAATTTTAAAAAAATATTTTATTGATTTATGATAGAGCATGAGCACAAGCAGGGAGAGGTGCAGAGGGAGAAGCAAGGCAAGGCTCTATCACAGGACCCTGGATCATGACCTGAGCTGAAGGCAGATGCTTAATGGACTGAGCCCCTCAGACACAACCCCGCCCACCCACCATATTCTTTATCCAGCAAAAAACATCCTTCAAGAAATAAGGTGAAGAAACACTAGGAGGATTTGTCACCAGCAGACTTGTTCTAAAAGAATGACTAAAAAAGCTATTCAGATAGAAAGGAAATGACAAGGAAAGGACGCTTGGAACATAATGAATGAAAAAAAGAGCAGTGGAATTATATAGATTGCATACTATAGAACATTCCTGAAGTGACAAAATTATAGTGATGGAGAACAGATCAGTGGTTGCAAGGGTTAGGGCCAAGAAATGGTGTGATTATTAAAGTGTAACAGGAAGAAGTTTCTTTCTGATGGTATGGTGATAGAACAGTTTTGGATTCTGCTTGTGGTGATGGTTATAGGAATCCATACATGTGATAAGATTTCAAATCTTACCCTGAAAAAGAGTATATATAAAGAAAGACTGATGACGTCCAAATAAAACCTGTGCCTGAATGAACAGAATTGTACCACTGTGCATTTCCTGGTTTTGATGTTTTACTATGGTTATAGAAAATATTATCAATGGGGCAAGACTTGGGTACACAGAAACTTTCTGTAACTTTTTTTTTTTTTACAATTTCTTATCTTAAGCAATTTCAAAATAAAATATTATAATAGAAATAGGATCTACTTTAGAGTATAACAAATAACATGGAAGACAAGGGGAGATGGAGAGGAGAAGGGAGTTGAGGGAAATTGGAAGGGGATGTGAACCATGAGAGACTATGGACTCTGAAAAACAACCTGAGGGTCTTGAAGGGGCAGGGGGTGGGAGGTTGGGGGAACCAGGTGGTGGGTATTAAGGAGGGCACGTATTGCATGGAGCACTGGGTGTGGTGCAAAAACAATACTGTTATGCTGAAAAGAAATAAAACATTAAAAAAAAAGAAAAGAAATAGGATCCACTTTAGTTTTTTTTTTTTTTAATTGAATTGAGAAAGGTAGGATAAGAGCAGGTGAATTCAGGATTTGGAGAAAATCATCTGAATTGGTAATTGGTGTAGGGTAGATTTTGGTTGGTTCAGTGAGATAATTGTGAGGTAATTGGTGTAGGGTAGATTTTGGTTGGTTCAGTGAGATCATTCTTTGCACACATCTCCACCAATCTATATACACACAAGTGCATATGCACCCTCACAGACACAAACACAATTATACTCACCTACAGATGGTCTGACCCATCTAACTCCTCTCTGCACCCACTTCTGCTTCATCTCCTAACCCTCCTTGCAACCCTTATAGTTCTTATTGTCATAAAATTCCAGCCTTCATCTCTTAACAATTATGTTGCCAGCAGCCTAATAACACTGCAGCATTTACTGAGCCTTATTAGATATGATGGAGTGAAAGGGTATAGGCCTGACTCAGAGGCCTGACTCAGCTCTAAGTGATGTCAAACAAAGGAGTCACCTTGGGTCCCGCAGTCTCACCATCACATTCCTGAGGCCCATATGCCCTCTGGAGGGTAGAGGTTGGAGGAGAACTGTTCCATAAAAGTCTGAGGAAACCATGGCAGGTGAGTAGGAAGTTGGAGGAGAGGAAGGGAGTGGTGAGAAGTTAGCTTATTTAGGAGAATGTTATCCAGCTCAAATCCTTTGATGATCATTCAGGCTAGAACTGAGAAAGGAAAAGGGAAGTCAAGAGAACAGAAGGAACAGACAATTTCTGACAGCCAAAGACTATTCCCATCTTTTTATAGACTTGAGGGAAAGGAAGGGTCAAGATGGTAGACCCAGTTCTTAGGCCACTGGGAGAGGGAAGAGAGAGAGCTTAGTTGCTATGGATGACTTTGTGGATCCAGTCTGTATAGTGGGAAACCCTGGTGTAGTAGCCAATATCACCTCTCAGAATACATCCTGCTGACCAAGATAGGATCCCATGGAGCTGATTCTGGCACAGGATTGGGGCAGCTGCTAATTCCTGTTAGAAAAAGGACAGATGGGTCAGGCAGGATAGCCAAAACAAAGATGACCTAGTACCTAGTGCAAAGTCCCTATCTGAGGGGTCCAGAATAGAGAGACATAGGTGACAAGGACAGGGAGAAATGTCTGGTGGACATGTTGGGCACATCCCAGCACTCATTCTAGGCCACATCAGAGTTAGCCATGAAGAAATACACTTTGAGATATTTTCACCCTGGCATCTAAGTTCATTCATTATTGGAAGATCACATCCTTTCCTGGATCCCATTTACCTTTACCTCTTCTTGAATGTAGAGATAGGAAATTAGATTGGTTGAGGGAGATAAAACAGTGTCCCAGACCAAACTCAAATGGGGCAGAGGGAAAAGAGTTACCTTACATGTGTGTGTGCTCTCCCGAGATAATCCCGCACAGAACATGTTCTCTGTGATTTTAACAGGAAATTCTCTCACAGGGGACTCTTGGCAGTCATCATTAGGGAACCAAAAGACAGTCTGGTTTATCTGGACATCAGGCTCTGTGTCTATGAACACGAGCATGTGCACATACGCATGCACACACAGAGAAAGAGAGAGAGAGAGGAGGCTTTGTTTTTCTTTGAATCTTAGCATGTTCATCTCCCTTTCTTCTCCCCTTCCCTCCCTCTTTTCTGTCATTAACCTCTCCATCATTCAATCAAAGAAAAAGCCAAAATGAAAAGGAACCGAAGAAGAAACATAATGAAACGAGAAAACCATGGTCTAGTCCCAGTGTTGCAGACTGCATACATACCTTGGGCTTGTGTGTGCATGCTTTTGTTTGTGAATGTCTGTCTCTTAGTTTCTAGTGAATAAGCCACACGCAGCTTCACCAGCAGGATCACCAGCCAGCCCCATCCTCACCCAGACACCTTTTCACCCCTCACCTGGGGGATGAATGAGCCAAGAACACTGGATTCCAGACACCTCCCACCATAAACAGTCATGTTACCAGTTTGGGCCTCAGTTTCCAAATGAATACAACTAGAGGTTAAGATATTATAAGTTCTCGGGCTTCTTCCAATTCTCATGATCTATAATAATAATTATAGGATGATCCTCTTTGAGTGGATACTTAAGGGACACTAAGGGTCTGTCTTGAAGGTCACTCACTGGAATTCTTCCATTCCCAGCCCCAGCCAGAGACCGTGCACTTTTCCCCTCTTCTGTCATCTGTGCTATTGGGCAGAACCACCAGCTTCACTTGATCATTGAGCTTTTGGGGATGATTCAGCTTGATAAGCATGAGGTCATGCTCAGCAGAATCCCGGCTAAAATCTGGGTGTTGAACAGTAAGCATGGGTCTTAAGTTTCCAATCTTGTTTTGGAAACTCTCTTTCGAAGCAGCAATGTTTATCTCAAGAAATCTGGAATAGGCCATGAAGGATTAGATATTATTCTATTGTTCACCTTGTATCCTTTCTCCCCAACTTGCTTTGTGACTTTGCATGAATTTTTTCCACCATAAGACCTCCATTTCCTTGTCTGGCAAATGAGCAGTTGTATTGCAGTTCTATAATTCTTTGATCTGCACCACATTGTATATAGGCCTTTCTTCCCTACCGATTCATCCCCTAGTCCTCAACTTCCCCAGTTCCCTCTGTCTACATCATCCCATCCAGAACTCTTAACTCATAACCACCTAGATCTATTTCCTGCCTCCTCCCAATCCCTTCTCAGGCTTGAAAACCCCTGGGCAAGTTTCTTCAGGGCTGATTCTCAATAACCCCATGGCAATCTCGGTGACTAAGGGGGCTACCTCTCCATTTAGACCCCCCATTACTCACGGCAAGAAGCAGTGGGCTGCAGTGAGAACCCACTGTTTGTGGATCAGGGTCCCCAGACAAGGCTCATATTCTGAGTTCAGGAAAACCAAAAAGGTTGGTACAGTTTTGCTGTCCATCTGATTGAACTGCTGGGCTAATTTTACTTGTACTGGTGTTGGTTTTACAGTTTTTGTTGTCACTACTGTCAGGAAAGGAAGACAGAATTTTAGAGATGGATAGACATTCCAGAAGATGGAAGTCTGAAACACTTTATGTGGACATGCTTGGAAACAGTCAATGTGTCACTGATGTTTGAGGTGTTATTGAACCATTTCAGGGTACTTTTGTTAATTTTCCCTTAGACTTCCCTCTGTATTTGCGTCCTCCTTCTTACTCCTCCTCTCTTTTCTTCCTTTAGCTTGATTATCCTCTTTTCCTCAAGCTTCCTTCCTAAATACATAGCAAAATCACATTCTCTTGCTGACACCCACCATCTACTGTGCCAAGTCTTATTATCTCAGTCTGAATCTTCTCTTGCACCCATGGAGCCAGAGGAAAGTCAGTGGCTCTAGATAGCTGAGTGCGCAAGGTAACTTCCAATCACAGGATCCTAAATTCTTACCTTTCTAACTAATGTTCTCTCCACCCATCTTATCTAGATCCATTTCCTACACTTTACTCCAATACAACCTTTTCAAAGTTTTAAGCCAAATTAGGCACCAGCACTCACCAGTCGCTGTCAGAATGTTGAAGACTAGAAAGAGGTGGCTCATGTCTGTGATCTCCATGTCCTCTGGCTGTAAGTAGACCTAGGGAGTGAACTACCAACAAGTCTGACCTCCTAGAAGCTTTGCAAAGGGAGAAATATCAAGGGGGTGGGAATATCAAAGGAGCAAAATGCTCCGAACCAAGGGAGGATGGCATCAAAGGGAGGAAAGACAGCCAGACCCTATTTCTTTAGAGAGTCTGCCCTTCCATTATAGTCTGGGAAATTTTTCTAAGGTGAAATGCCTGACCACAGAGAGATATCCTGTGAGTTAAGAACTTTTTTACCAAAGAGAAATCTCAACTGGCCAATTGTGTCTGCCTTATTCCACTGTCTCCAGTAAATACTTCAGTCTCCGGTTCCCTTTCATTTACTCACCTGTCCTCACTTCGTGTGGCTGATCTTCATCTACCTGTGTGACATTTACTAGCCCTCAACTTCAAAATAAACTCCCTCCACTCTGAGCTAGAGCCCTCATCTAACAAACTAAGCCTTCCCCCATGTCACATTGACTCTTGCCCTAATGTCACACTGGCTCCACCCATAGCATCCTCTCATGTCACAGACCCCATACCATGTCATCCTCCCTCTAATCCCCAGATAGAGCTGACCTCTCCCTGAAACTTTGAAGAGCCACATAAAGACAGATAGGGCTCAGCATGGAGTTCCCTCAGAATGAAGTCAAAGGGATAACAGGTAGAATGTATCAGTTGGCTTTTGCTGGCAAATTTCCTCAAAGCTTAGTGGCTTAAAATGATAGTTAATTTTGGTCACAATTCTTTAGGTTGCCAGTTTGGGATGGTCTCCGCAGGGCTCACTGATGCATCTGTGATCAACTGGCAGCTAATGGTTCCACAAACATGTCCACGTTGTCAGCTAGAGCGATGAGGATAACTAGGCCATGTGTCTACCACTATTCAACAGGCTAGTCCAAGATCATTTATATGATGGTAATTGCAAAGTTCAGAAAAATGGTATATCTCAATGCCCAAATCTTCAGGCCTTTACATATGTCATATTTACTAACGTCCCATTGGCCAAATCAAGTTGCATGGCACACAGGTAGAAAAGAGTCCACTACCTGATGGGAGAATGTGTAAAATCATATTACAAGGGCAGAGATAGAAGGAGCATAGTTTTTGGCCATTTTTTTTCCTGCCATTTTATTGTGTACATTTTCAAACATACAAAAAATTTAAAAGCACTGTACCGTGGATACTACCACCATGCCTCCTACTTTTCTTCAACTAACACTTTACTATCTTTGTGTTATCACGTAGCTATCCATCTATCTACCACATGGAGGCAACCAGCTTAATCTCCTACAGTCTGGTTTCTTCTTCCTCCTCTCTGACAGCAACTCCTTCTCTCACAGCTGTCACCCTCACCATATAGCTCCTGAGTGGCTGTGATAGTTTCCAAACTGGCCTTCTTCAACAAGCTATCTCCTTCTCTGTCCAACTTGCCAGAGTGATGATTGTTGTTGTTGTTGTTGTTGTTGTGCTCTTGCTTGAAAGCTTACAGTTGTTCCTCATGCCCATTTCCTCATGTCTAAACTCCTAGCTTGACTGCCAAGGCCCTCAGTAACCTGGGACTGACACATGGCTATGTAGGAATATGACATAATGGGCAGAGTCAGAGTCCCTGGGTAATCTCCAAAGGAGCCTATGTCCTTGAAAGATCTGTTGGTGAACTTACCTCTCTCTGACCAACCCTAGTCTCTGTGTGTCCTAATGTCTTTTAAAATTGGCTGTAATCTTTGGCTTTTAGCCCTCTTAGCTTGGCCTCACCTGGACAGCTCCCATCAGCATGTCATAGGCACCAATTTCTGCTCTGATCTGGGTATCTTTTCCTTGGGTTCTTGTCAAAAATCTCATGACTGTCATGCTTCCATGGTCATCTGTTTCCCTACTGATGAGCAAGGACTGGCTCGTCCCCCCTTCATTTGGTCAGAGGCCTGTTTTGAATATATTCTTCTGACTGGCTGTGAGTCCTTGGCTATACGTCCTGGGTTCATACAAGAAAGGATTCTCATCCAACCTCTGATTGGACTGCATCTCTCACTAAGACCTTTCTTGGCTCCCTCTCTGTGCTAATCCCTGCTGGCACCCAGTGAGCTCCACTTGTTCAGACTGGGTTTTAAGAGCCCCTTAGATTCCAGTTTGTCTCCACTGTCTCTCCCACCAAACTATTCCCTGGTGCATTATTTTTCTCTCTTCTCTACTGTAGACTTTTCATGCTTGGCCCGCTAGTTTCTTCGGTATTCTTCACATTGACCATTTCCCTCCAGGCTTCCTTTCATTCTTTGGCTCACTGTATAAACAAAATTGGGGGCATCCACCCTACCTCACCGCTTCTCAGGGAGCCTGCTTCTGTCCATAACCCTTGCTAAATGACTCAAGCCTGGATGTCAAGAGCCAGAATCTGAATCCTCAGAGACACTTCCTGGGTCAATGTAGCTCTCCTTCAGTGCCCAGTCCTACCTGATCTGGGTCTGTCACCTCCACACTCGTTGTTGATCCTATCAGACACTCACATGCTTCTGGATGGTCTCAGATTTAAGAAGCTCTAGTTACCTGGTTCATGACCTTGACTTAAGCTCAGGATTTGTATCTGATTCAACTCTGTGTCCCTAGATATTAAAATAATACCTGATACTGCATAGTAGATTTTTAAAAAAGATTTTGTTTATTTATTTGTCAGAGAGAGAGAGAGAGCACATGTAGGGGGAACAGCAGGCAGAGGGAGAAGCAGGCTCCTTGCTGAGCAGGGAGCCTGATAGGGGACTCGATCCCAGGACCCTGGGATCATGACCTGATCCAAAGGCAGACGCTTAACTGACTGAGCCACCCAGGCATCCCTGAATACCAGATTTTATACACACACAAATTGATGCATACACATACACTTTTTTTGGATGAATAAGTGAATACCACTAATCTCCTGACTTAAAGCTCCCAACAGCCTGCCACACTGACCTGACCTCTAGATAATGTCAGCTCTCTGGCTTGCCTCAGGTCACTGCCTTGTAAGTTAATCCTTCAAGATTATGGCTTTTGATTCCAAGGATCAGGTACTAGACATAACTGGCATGAGATTTAATCTTTTTTGTCTTTTAAAAGCTTAACTGAAGTATAATGGTATACAGTAAATCACATATTTAAAATGTACAATTTGGTAAGTTAATGAGCATATTCCCAAAAGATTCCTTATGCCCCTTTGTAATTCCTCCTCCTTTCCTCCAACCTACCACCTTATCACAAAGCCACCACTAATCTCTTTCTGTCCCTGTAGATTAATTTGTATTTTCTAGAATACTAGATAAATAGAGTCATTACAGTAAGTTTTCTTTTTTGGTCTAGCTACTTTCACTCAGCATAATTAATTTGGATTCATACATGTTGTTGTGTGACTCTAGAGTTCGTTTCTTTTCACTGCTGAGTAGTATTCTATTGTACTGATGGACCAAAATTTGTTTACCTATTGATGGATTTTTGGTTGTTTGCAGTTTGGGATTATACAAATAGAGCTTCTGTGAATACTTCACATATGTGGGTCTTTATGTAGGTGCATATGTGTGTATATGTCTTTATGTAAACATATGCTTCCTTTTCTCTTGGGTAAATAAAGATGAAATGGCTGGATCATATATAGTAAGTGTATATTTAACTTTTAAAGGTACAGCCAAACTGTCTTCCAAAGTATTTTACATTTTGGGGGCCCCTGGATGGCACAGTCAATTGAGCTTCCAACTCTTGGTTTTAGTTCAAGTCATGATCTCAGGGTTGTGAGATCAAACCTCTCATCAGGCTCCGAGCTCAGCAAGGAGTCTGCTAAAATTTCTATCTCCCTCTCCCTCTGCCTCTCCCTACTCTCTCTCTCTAAAGTGAATAAATAAATTTTTAAAAAGTATTTTAAAGTATTTTTAAAAAGTATTTTAAAGTATTTCACCAGAAGTGTAAGTGTTCCAGTCCCTCTATATCTTCACCAATACTTGGATGTGTTCAGTCTTTTAAAAACTTTTAAAATTGAGATGTAATTGACATATTATAATGTATTAATTTGAGGTGTACAATGTGTTCTGTCTTTTTAACTTCAGCTATTCTCCTAACTGTGAAATAGTGTTTCAGTTTGGTTTTAATTTGCATTTCTCTGTGACTGATGATGTTGAACATCTTTTCATGTGCATATTTGCCATCCATACATCTTCTTTGATAAAGTGTCTATTCAGGCCTTTGCCCATTTTTAAACTGGGTTGTCTCATTCTTTAAAATGAAGATGTGAAGGGTTTTTAATATATTCTGAATAGGATTTCTGCAATTCTTCCAGTAGCTGGAGGAATGGACTCCTATAGGTCTATCCACATGCCTCTTCCCTAGACACGCTCGTTCCCAATTTTTGAATCTTTCTCTTTCCAAACCTCTGACTAGGCAGCTATGTTATTCATTGCATGAGTCTTACATTTTTATTTCAGGCTACTTTTCTTTCCACACAATCTAGATGACCAGATGTACCCCCAAAGCTCTTCCCATTAAGGTCATCTTTGGATGGGGATTATAATACAGTGGTTCATTCCTGGCTTCACCACATACCAAGCTAATCCATTTATGTATCAGGACAGGTTTTTTTTTCTTTTCCATGAGTTGATCATAAGGGAACTTGCCTGTCCACCACCGCACTCCCCAAAAAGAAACCATGAATGTAAGCTGAGAGGCAGGCAATGGTGCCATAGTGATGGTTGAAACAGGAATGTAAGCCATCTACACATGCAGCTTACTTGTCCTTTGATGTACCACTTCCATCTCACTATGGACTTTTGTTGGGCTCACATGACCTTATGACTTAGTAGATCTGACAGAACACACCTTGTAACAAACCGTTCTGGCTGCACAGTCACTGGATGTCCCGAGATCAGGTGTTCTGTCTCTACCCAGGCTTAGTAGCACATCAGGAGCTATATTTTGAATGGTGTCTGCCACAGATGGTGTAACATTGTTCCAGAACTCTAATGTCTTCATAATGATTCTCTTACCAGGGCTTGCTGGAAACTCCTTAAAATGTCTTTTCCCATCACACATACCTCTAATAGCATAAGTCTGCTAGGCAGTATAGCTAAAGTCTCTCATGAGGTTACAGGCAAGATGCTGTCCAGGCTTGATTGGGGCTGGAGGATCTGCTTCAGCAGTGGCTCACTCACACGGCTTTGGGCAGCAGGCCTCAGTTCTTTTCCACATAAATCTCTCTGAAATGGCTACTCCAGTGCCCTTATCACATGGTACCCGACCTCCCTCATGGCAAGTGATCCAAAAGAGAGCAAGGAATGAAGTCGTAATGTCTTAAAAGTCACATATCATCACTTCTGCAATATTCTATTTGTTAGAAGTAAGTCACTAAGGCCAGACCACACTCAAGGGGACAGGAATTAAGCTCTGTCTCTTGAAGGAAGAAATAACAAAGCATTTGTGGGCATAATTAAAAACCACCACATATGATATCTTCAATATTGTGATGATATGCAGAATGTCCAGGC